AGGGGTAATCACCTGTCAAATTGGATACAGGGGCTAAACAATAGCCTGGATAAAAGCTATCCTCATGCAGGGAGAGAGCCAGAGAATTAGAGAGGCCACACAACCAGGAAAGGTTCCCAAAGGAGACGGCACAGGCCCTGGAGAGAGCTGACAGGGAGTGACAGGCTGGTGGGAGAAGGCACAGACCCAAGAAAGGGTTGAATCAGAGTGGGTGCTGAGGGGAAGCTACCAGGCAGAAGCATAGTGTAGGTGGGATTAGAACAGGGTCAGGTTGCCCATGACCTGGGGTGAGGGAAAAGCCAGGATATCAACAGTGATTACTTTGGGTATATTTAGTGACTAATATTTAAGACACACTCAATAAGTTTATATTCTAGAGTAATGATTATTATTAAACAATGGTTATCTATAAAATTGAAATCCATATGTGCTTGTCTGAGAGCATTGTTTCCTAGGGAATGGGATCCCAAAGCCCATTCATGCACCAGGAATAAATACTGCCCTTGGTCCATAGACTTCCCAGGCCTCCCCACTGACTTGCACTTTCAGCGGCCCTGCTTCAGGCTTAGAAACAGATATTGTGTGAGGGTTTTAGTACAGTAGAGCTGGAAGGACCTGCATGTGGTTGCCAGAGTATGGCTTTGATTGAATGGAAAGATATCTACCAGTAAGTAACTGACACCTCATTCTGATTGAGTGTGGGGGGGCCTGCCCGGACATATGTATATGTGTGCATATATGTGTGTTTGAGAGAGACAGAATGGGAAATACAGTGAGAGACAGAGACAGAGTGTTTCTTTTCTTTTGTTCTGTTTTTTTGAGACAAGGTTTATCTCTGTAACTATGGAGCCTATCCTGGCAGTAGCTCTGGAGACCAGGCTGGCCTTGAACTCACAGAGATCCTCCTGCCTCTGCCTCCTGAGTGCTGGGATTTAAGGCGTGTGCCACCAACACAGGGCCGACAGAGTATTTTCACACACACACACACACACACACACACACACACACACAGAGAGAGAGAGAGAGAGAGAGAGAGAGAGAGAGAGAGAGAGAGAGAGAGAGAGAGAGAGAGAGAGAGAGAGAGAGAGAGAGAGAGAGAGTGTCTCACACACACAGTTCTTGTTTTATCTTCCTGCTAGGTATAAACATCTGTGAAATACCAAAGAATCTCTGTCTCTCTCTCTCTCTGTCTCTCTCTCTATCTCTCTCTCTCGCACACACACACACACACACACACACACACAACACAATCACACAATGCTGGTTTGTGGGTCATGCTAGGGATAATTGTCTATGAATATTCTCTCATTCTGTCACTTTTTGTCAGTCTCTGTATCTGTCTTGGTCTCTCTGCCTCTCCCTCTCTGTGAAATACCAAAGAATCTCTCTCTCTCTCACTCTCTCTCTCTCTCTCTATCCCTTTGAGTCTGTCTCCCCTCTCTCATCTTCCCTGGCTCTCTCTTTCAGAATGATGTGTCAGTTACTGCCTGCTAGGTTTCCTTCCATTCAACCAAAGCCGCACTCTGGAAAGCAAATTCAGGACCTACCAGCTCTCCACTCTTCTGTTACTAAAACCCTCACACAATACATTGCTGTGTCTGTTTCTACTAGGTATTTTTGTATTGCACAGCCAAAGCCCCACATATAGCAGCATTCAGCTCCTACTAATTACCACCTCCCCTAGAGACAAGTGTACCAATACGAATACAAACCAGGTATCAGTCCTTCTTTATAGCCTCTTCCCTACTGTAAAAGTTCCCAATAAAAGAATAGCGGTCTGTCTAAATCTGAACTGGGGCCCCTATAATTGAGAGTCATTGGAGAAGCCTGGGCAGTCTCAGGTTCTACTGGCAGTGGAACCAGTATTTATCCCCAGTGCATGAATGGGCTTTGGGAGCCCATTAGATATAGAGGGACACACTTTTGTACATTATTTTGATGATTGTCCCTCTCGCCCAATTACTCCCATTCCCTCCTTCCCATTCTACCATCTACTGTTATGAACTTCCTTTCCTTCTTAAAAAAATAAAACACAAAGCAAAACAAAATCAACACAAGCAATCAATACCTAAAAAATGTCCCCAAAATGAAATGAGCACAAACATCTACCACATATCTATGGAGCTGATGTATGTGTTTACCATTGTTTCCCAAACTTGTGTTCTATCAAAAGGAGTGGTTAAGATACCCAGTGAGAATTCATTGGAGGAAACTTACTCTTCCT